GGGTCCACATTTTCTCCCAAACAGCCGAGACACGAAGGCTTCCATCTGCCTGGCAGGTTCTCGGCCCCTGGGTAATCCACGTGCCCATTCAGGCAGGAGGTGGCAGCCACACCTTGCCCCATTATGCGTGGGAAGCTGAAGTCTGCAGAGACCTGTGGCCCAGCAAGACAGAGGACAGTGAGGGGCCATGGCCACCTCAGCCAGGGTCCTGAAGCACACCTGCTCACTGTCTTGCCCAGGACCTAGCTCATTTCACCTGCTGAGCACAGGGTGTGCAGGTCGGACGGGGCTCAGGCAGCCAGGCCTCCACACCCCACCCATGGCCCCAACCCCCCCTAGAGAGGAGGGGGAGATGACCCTGCAGCCCCCTCCACCCACTGATCGGAACGAGCAAGGAGACCAAGCCCCCCCTTCTCTCACCCATAAATTATTCAGTTTGCAAAATGCCATTATGCGTGAGTTTACTTAATTGAATAGAATAATTTATGGTAGGACGTGGGGAGAGGGAGACGGATGAGCAGGAGAGGCGAGTCTGGCTCTGTGGCTTTGATCTCTGATTAGAATGCCGTCGGGGGAAGCATCACTCGGGGCAGGATCAATATTTGCACAGTGGCGGGACCAGGATGCTTACATGGAGGTGGCCAGCCATATCCACGCTGGCTGCTTCTTAGGTGCCACAAGCGTGTGCGGCTCCCATGCCCCAACTCCAGACCCGGCACTTGGGGGAATCCCTACTGGCCATCCCAAGACTGGGGAGGAGCTCAGGGGAACAGCCTCCTCTAGACACAGAAGCCCCAGGACCTGGGCAGGCCCCTTGACAGGAAAGCAGTGGCCAGGCCCCCAAGAGAAGCCCTCCTGACCTCCATGCAAAAAGCAAGGGCTGTTCCTGGTCCGAGCCAGCAGCCAGCAGCTGGTCTCCCCATGGGTGCAGGCCTGAACCAGCAGCCGGTCTCCCCGTGGGTGCAGGAGCCAAGCACCTGGACCATCCTCGATGCACTCCCCGGTGTATCACCAGGAGTCGAATGGGAACTGGAGCAGTCGGGATGTGAACCGGTGTCCATGTGGTTAGCCTCCTGTACCGTATCGCTGGCCACAGTGTTCCAAAACTGAGACCAATGATGCCAGGCTTGGGCCAACCAGATGTCAAGCTGCCATCTTTCCTAACTGAGCTGGTGCTCCCATTGCCACTGCCAGCCAGAGCCTGGCCACTGGAGGCCCAGCTGACGACCCAGTCCCGGGGCCAGGCTGCCTCCATTCTGGAACCCTTGCGGACCAATGTCCCTCTGCCCTTGATACCAAGTTCTAGTCAGGGCCAGACTGCAGATCTGAGCTTCCCAAACCTGGACCCATCGCCCACGGGCAGTCCCCACGGCCCTGTTCAGGCCTCTTTCCAGCCTACTGGCCATGCCCCTCACAGCAGCTTGGACCCAGCCAGGCTTCCTTCAGACCCTGGCAGCCTGAGACCTCAGGCACACTCCCTGGCCGTGCTTGGGCTCCTGCAGAGCGCCACAGACACACAGGGAAAACAAGTACGTGGTGGCCAGCATGGGTGGCTCTGGGGCAGCAAGCCCACCCTCTTCCACCAAACCACCATGAGCGGCCAAGGCTCTGGGCTACCGCCTCCATGGCGACACAGCCCCAGGCCCCCATGCCACCCAGGGAAGACCAGGCCTGTTGCAGACCCCATGTGGTGGGCAGACCTGGGCAGGGATGTTTCTCAGGTCTCCACTGCCACAAGTCCTGGCATTGGCCAGAGCAGGGACCCTCAGCATCCTCAACCCAACAGTCCTTGCCCCACAGGAGGAGGCTGCCCGGCAGCTTCCTGGCCAGCCCCAGCCCTGGCCCCAGCACACCAGCACCTCCCACAGGCTGCAGCCATCCCAGCCACCAGGCTCATAGCTTGGGATGTAGAGGTGGGCTAGTCACAAAGGACCAGGGTCGCAGAAGGAAATGACCCCCAGGGAGGCCGAGCTGCCCTTCAGAGCACTCCCCCAGCCCCGGCCCAACCCGTGACCCCTGCTTCAGGCACCTCCTGACTACCCCAGGAGGCGATCTCTCCTGGGCGTGCCCTGCCCCATACCCTCTCCTTTCCGCTCCCAAGCACACACCTGCGTGTCCAGGTCACCACTCTTCAGGGCAGTCCTGTCCAGCCACTGGGGACACCACGGACATCCATGGGGCTGATGAGATGTCCCCCACAGCCAAAGGAGGGTTTCTGCTGTGCCCGCGGCTCTACCTGGCGGGCAGGTGAGCTGCTGGCGATCAGTGGGCGTTGGAGTCCAGGGGGGCCCAGTGGGGGCCAGTGAAGGTGGCAGCTTCTGGAACGCCCTGTTAGAGCCCGGGAGACCCCACCACTCTACCTGCAGCGTGGTGCTCACACAGCTCCAGGGCCCTCCCCTTTGCCAGTAACTCAGCCCTGCAGGGGGTACTCCACGCTGAGGAGGAAAACAGGACACCCTCAGGGTCCCTGTTCCTGGGAGGGGGCTGGGACCAGACCCCCTGGCCGGGGCCAGACCCTGGAGGCCAAAGGAGCCACCTACCTGAGGGGGTGGTGGCCAGAGCATAGCTAAGGAGCCCAGTGGTAGAACCCAGGCATAAGGGCTGACCCACAGCCAAGGACAGCAGCTGAGGGGCCCAGCAAGGGGCCTCTAGGGTGGAAGGACCCAGAGGCTACTGCCCTTGGAAGCTGCAGGCCGGCAGGGCCAGCTGTGGGCTCCTCTTTCTGCAGGCCGCACTGCCTGGAGTCAGACCACCGCACTTGCTTGCGAACCTGAAGCAGAGCTCAAGTCTAGCAGGTCACAGGGCAGCCACAGGAAGCCCCAAAGGCTCTGGCTGCCCTCCCTGAAGTAGAGGCCCTGTGCGAGGCCACACACGGCCCCGACCACGTGCACCTGCGCCAGGCCCTGCCCCCAGCCTGTCCTGCCTGAAGAGGTTTGGGCCTGAGCCACGGTCCTGAGCTGGGGCAGTGGGGACTTCCAAGCCCCACAGCCCAATGCCCATCCCCCACACCGCCAGCCCGAACCACAGGAAGGCCCAGAGAATTCCTTCCGGCCTCCTCCCAGCCTCACGGGCTTCCTGTGTGGAAGCCTGGCCTGGCTCCACCTTGATAAACACAGTATCAGCAACAAGCCATCTCCACCAGCTTCCTGCTGGCTGCACAAGGTCCCAGGGCCCGCCCAGTTTCAGGAGCCCTAGCTGCCAGGCGGGCAGGAGGCTGCTGTGCCCCTGGAGCAGGGAGCGGGCTCTCAGACTTTCCTGGAGCTGTGCCTGGTGGATGATGGCGGCTTCCCCGCCCCCACACTGACCCAGGCCCTGGAGGAAGGAAGCGCCCCCTCCCTGGGCTCCCACCCTCCCTCACCCGCCTGCTCTCCCACCAGGCCTCCTCCCAGCACCCGGCCCAGGGCACCCTGCCCTGGCCCGCCTCCCATCATGGCCTCCAGTGCCAGCCTTGGGGCGGGCAGGGCAGGCTGCACAGGTCTGGACCTGCTGCTGAGTCAGGCACACCTCTCCAGGGGCAGCCAGCAGCCAGGTGCCAGGCCAGCCTCGGAGGCCACTGGATGGACTCCAGCCTTGGCCACCCACTGTCCCCACTGCCTCACCAGTGGCCCGGTAGTCCCAGCTCTCCCTGGCCAGGGTCTCCTGGAAAGGGCAAAACGTGCAGGACACACACAGGCCCCTGTGGGCGGTCCTGGGCATCCAAGGCTTTCCTATCTGTGAAATGGTTGCAGCCCGCCAGCTCCCAGCTGTAATGACAGGACCAGGCTTTGGGGCCAGATCAAAGGCCGCTCAGACCGTGGGACCCGGGCCTGCCCAGCTGCCTCAGGCCGGGGCAGGGCCAGGCAGTGAAGGCTGAAGGCTAGGAGGCAGGGGTGACCATGTGGAGGGAAAGACCCTCCTGGACACGTGCCCTCACCCCTGGCCAGCCGCAGCAGCCCAGCTGAGTCAGGTCGTGCATCCCAGGAGCAGGCCCCAGAACCACCTAGGGGACCTAGTGCCCCCCAGGTGGGCCCTGCTTGGCATACCCTGACCCTGACGCCACCAGGCCTGGCCTGACCCCGACCCTGACCCAGGCCTGGCCTGACCAGTGACCTCAACACAGGTCTGACCCTGATCATCGACCCCAACACAGGCCACCTTAACCTCTGACCTTGAGACAGGCCAGTCCTGACCCCTGACCCTGACCGTCCTGACCCCTGCTTGCCAGATGCCCACAGGGGCCTCTGTACAGTGAGGACCAGGGGGCAGGAGGGCTCAGGGCCTCTGCTCAGGCAGGGCTGGGGACGGCTTTGCTCCAGCAGCCCCAGGCAGCAGTGTGCCCCACAGAGTCCGCCCCACTCAACAGCAGCCAGCAGCACGGGCGCCACTGCCCCCAAAACAGAGGGGGCTGGGCAGGGGGTCAGACCCCGGTGGACAGCTCAAGCTCAGGTGTGCCAGGGCCTCTACAGACCTCGCCCACAGCCCTGTGTGCGAGTGGGGTGAGGTCCCCGAGGCTTGGGAGGGAGAAGACCATGCCACCAGACTGGCTCCTGACAGTGAGGCCCAGCCACAGGGGCTTGTGGGGAGAGCTGTAATGGCTTGGCAGGCTGAGGCATGGGCAGGAGCAGAGAGCAGAGCTACTGCAGCCCCAGCCTGGGCCCCCCAGGCCTGTCAGAAGCCCACAGGGCCTCCGCAGGAGCAGGCTGAGCAGCCTCAGCCATGGAGCCAGGAGCCGCAGCCATGCTGTCCCACAGGTGGGCAGCTAAGGCCCACAGGACCGCTTCCCACCAGCCCCAGCCTGGAGCCTGCGGTGGGCATGGAAAGCTGCAGGTCCTTTGGGACAGCAGCAGGGGCTGTGTCCACCTGGAAAGGCAGGACAGGAGTGACCAGAGCCAAGGACCACGGACACACCTTTTATTCTGGATGGACACTGCCGGAGCCGCAGGTCACCTCCACTCCTCTCTACCCCCGTTCACACGCACACATCAGACCCCAGGGTCGCACCTGCCAGGGGGCAGCCCCTACGTAGAAAACCACAGAGACACAGACCCTCTGTCTCCAAAGCCCGCTGTCGGCAAAACACTATAAAAATACAGCCCTAAGAGACGTTACAAAACCCGAGGGCGGATGGTTTTGGTAAGAATTCCTGCCGTGAAGAAGGCCTGGCGTGCCCGCCACGAACTCAGGCGGGGCGCGGCCCCCGGTCTGGCATCTGCTGGCCAAGGAGTCCTTAGCACCAAATGTGAGCGGGACAAAGTCCAGCTCAAGGTTAAAGGCACTTCGTGGCTGGGGGGCAGCGGCCGTCTGCCCTCCCTGATGCCCGTCTCCACACCGAGCCTCAGACGTCCACCTCCTGGGGGCCCGGCGTGGTGGCCACGGCGGCCACGCTGATGTCAAAGCAGGTGACCATCATGACGTGCGCCTTGCACAGGTTCACACACTGCTCCAGTCCGGCCGTGGCCCGCTCCAGCGCCTCCAGGTACTCAGCTGACTCGGGCTCCAGCTTGGGGTCCACCTCGACTGGGGACAGCAGGAGGTCGAGGCACCAGTCAGGGGAGCGGCAGTGACCAGCACGGGAGATGGGCGGGGCACCGGGCACGAGAGGGCACTCACACTGCTCCAGCCAGCGGCCCGGCTGCAGCATCAGCCGGCCCTGCGTCTCCTCCAGCTCCTCACACAGACGACTGTGCTTGGCCCGTGCCTCCTGCAGCCGCTGCTGCCTGCGCTCAGCCAGCCGCAGTCGCGTGCCCTGGGCATAGGGGTGGGCAGTCAGCTCGGGCACGGGGCAGGGGGCGGGAGGGTGTGATTCCCCACGTCCCAGTTGGGGGGAGCTCGACCTTGAGATCCCTGGGCACCTGCCAGGGTTATTCAGATGCTGGGCACTTAGGCAGGACCCAGGGACCCCCAGAACGTAGGGATAGCAGTGGGGGCTGCAGGACTCTGCCTGCCTTCCACCCTCAGCTCCAGGGCTGGACGCCGCCTGCTCCTACCTTCTCTGTGTCCTGGGAGAGCTGGGGGCAGGAGGAGAAGAGTTCAGGCGTCTGCCCACCCGAGCTCCCAGCCACCCCCTCGCGCCCCTCGCGCCCCTCGCGCCCGTGGCCCGTACCTGGGTGGGGTGGTCCTGCGGGGCCGGCCGGTGCCGCTGCACGCGCTCCACATCGTCAATCTCATAGACCTTGATCTCAAACGGCTCCTTCAGGGAGCCGGCCAGCGGCAGCAGGTCCACCCACTGCCCGGGAAGGCTGGGCTTGCGGCCCAGGGCGGCAGTGTCGGGCAACGGGGCTGGGATCAGCCGCCGCCTCTGCACTCCTGAAAGCGGGGCGAGGACTGAAGGATGGAGGCCCCTGACCCAAAACATCTCCCTCCAGGACTCACTCGCGCCCCAGACAGCAATACAGTCGGCCTCCCTGCTATTCTCACAGCCCCACCCGTACCCTGCCCCTAGGGCAGCTTCAGCTGGCCCCCAGGACACTGGTGAGCTCGCAGGGAGTCCAGGCCCCCCACAAGGCACTCACCTGTGGTCCTCTTCCTGGGGGACTTGAGGCTGCGGGCGCGGGCACCAGGAGACGCCCCACTCTCGCTCATGGAGTCCGGGGCGGAGGAGGCGCTGCCCGTGGCCTCACTGTCCCTGATCATGCTCTCATAGCCGCTGCTGCCGCCGCTGTGGTAGAACAGAGCGGTGCGGCCCATGGCAGGTGGCAGCTCTCCGCTCAGCACACTGCTGTTGTCGCTGCCATGGCCGCTGCTGTAGCGCTGGGGCCGCCGTGGGGCCGTCACGGTGCTGTACGGAGAGGGCAGGGCCGGCCGCGAGGCGGGCAGCTCCTCGGCCACGTTTACACCACTGTCGGTGCCACTATCTGAGTCAGGAGAGCCCCACGAGGAACCGCCCCTGCTGCGGGCCGCCAGCTCATGCACACGGCTGTGAGTGGCCCGGAGTGCCTGTTTGGTGCCCATGACGGTGCCCCGGCTGGCCTTGGCCACCATCCTGGGGCCAGCCAGGGGGCCCCCCGGGGTCCTGCCTGCTGTGGGGGCCGGCGGCTTTGCCGAGGCACCCAGAGCTCGAGGCCCGGTGGCAGCTAGGCTCCGGCCCTTGCCCCCACTTCCTGGGGTCCTAGGGACTCCCACTGCCTTAGCTGGGCTGCCCCTGAAGGAAGGAGCAAGCGTGGGCATGGGGCTGGCAGGTGGCACCCCTAGCTTGGGCACAGCCCGGGGTGGCCGTGCAGAGGTTTCCCTGGCCTTGCCACTGCTGTGTCCCAGGGCCTCGACCCGCTCGGGGGAGGCGTGGCCCGCCACTCGCTGTGCCCCCTCCACCCTGCCTGCACGGGCCTTCAGGCTGGATGGAGCCCGGCCACCGGGCCTGGCCTCCTCTGAGGAGAGTTGGATGGTGGCAGCCGCGCGGTTCAGGCTCACGGCCTGGGTAGGTGCCAGGGTGGCACCATTCTTGTGCCCCAGGCTGGACTTACGCACAGGCGGGGCTGGGGGGACCACCCCACCAGGCCTGGGAGAGAGGCTCCCCTTGGGAGCTGGACTCCTCCTGCTGCCTTCAACAGTGGCATGGTCCCCAAAGGAGGCAGTGGGCATGCTCACCCCCAGTGTCGTGGCACCCCTCCGCAGAACGGGGATCTGGGCAGCTGCATCTGGCCGGGGAGCAGTCCTGGCTGCCACCTCACACCCGTCGACCACCCTCTGGGTACATGGTGGCAGCCCTGGACCTGGCCGAGCTGAGCCCACCTGTAGCAAGTCCCACTCGCCTGCCTGCAGCAGCCAGGGGTCACCAAAGAGGCTGCCAGGGTCAGGAGGGTTCTGGTCCAGGGGACAGCAGCCAGTGTGGCCAGCCTCGGAGTCCATCCTCGGCCTGCGGGGCAGGCTAGAATGGATGCTCTGTGCGGCCACAGCCTGCCGGGGTGGCCCAGCATGGGCTGGGGCTGGGGCCATGACAGCCTCTGCTGGCTGAGAACTTGGGGCCGGGCAAGGGTTGGGATGCCGCAGGAGCCCAACACTGCTGCCCTCAGAGCCACCGCCTAGGCCAGGAGGCCCCGGGCACTCAGGCCCAGCAGGCGAGTCAGGGCTGAAGCTCAGCCGGGGCACAGGGCCACAGCCCTCGGCACCGTAGATGCTGAGGTCACTCAGCCACGAGCTGATGTGTGGCTCCGGCCTGCCACCTGCCTCAGTTGGGCCTCCGGGAGCCTGTGTGGTGAGGGCGTCAAATTCATCGTTGATGCTGCTGATGATGCTGACGGGCCGGGACCCCGAGGCCAGAGCCTGCAGGGAGCAGTCACTGTGATAGCTGGCCAGGCTGGGGGGCCGGCCGCCCGCCGCCCCCAGGGCCAGCTCCTCCACCAGCGTGAACACCAGCTGGTCCTCCCCGTTGAGGGCGACGGGCTGCTGCAGCGTCACCGTGGTGGTAAGCAGACCCCGCTCCAGGTGGCGGCCATGGGGAGACAGGGGCCAGCCTGCTTGCTCACTCATGCCCACAGGAGGTGTCCGGGCCATGTTGCCGTTGCCCCCTCCACAGAGGTCCTCAGCTTCCGGTGGCGGTGGTGGTGGCGGTGGTGGAGGGGCCGGGCTGGGCAGTAATCTCCGGCCTCCATCCACCATGGCCTTGTCCAGGGTGCGTGGCTCAGGCCGAGGGTGGCTGCCATCCTGGGCACTGGCCTTGGGGGAGTCAGGTGCAGCCCGGTGGCTACTGGGACCAGGACCAGCACGAGGGGTACCGCTCACCACGGGGGAGCCTGGGGCCTTCCTAGGGGCAGGGGTCTCAGGCGGCTCGGGCCTGGGGCCGGCTCGGGCAACGGTGGCCTGTGCAGCATCGTTGCCATCGATGCACTCCAGGCGTTCCTGCAGCTCTGCAAAGGTACTACAGCGCAAGTGGTCAGCATCCCGGGCACCTCCGGACGGCCAGCGGCGGCTCAAGACAGGCACAATGGGCACGCAGTCGGGAGGGCCTTCGTGGTCGGTAAGCTCCTGATCTGACAGCGGGGCACCCCCAGGCCCCACATAGATAACTGTGTCACAGGACTGCTCACTGCTGGATGAGTACTCGGGGTCGCCACGGTCCGCAGCAGCCGAGCGTGGGTGACAGGGCCGCAGGGGCGGCGGGCGGCGTGCCCGGCCCTCCTCACAGGAGCTCTCTCCTCCCGAGGAGCTGGACGCGCACTGTGAGCAAAGCAAGACAGGTCTGTGAGGCCGCCGGGTCCCCATCTCCCCTCTCAGGGCCCTGCCAAGCAACACGGAGCTCCAGGCCAGAAGAGAGCAAGAACAGAAGGGGGTCCTGGGGGCCGCCCCATGAGGACCCGGCAGGGTCACGCCCCTGGACACAGGTCCACGCACACATGCCCTCCTTCGCCTGTGCCCACCTTGGCCTTCTTCCTGCGGAGACGGTGGACACGGGCAGCGAGCTGCACGGTGCTCAGGGCCTCAGCATGTTGGGCTGGCGCGTCCGAGATGTGAGCGATCATGGTGGTGCGGCAGCCAGCGGCTGCCAGGGCCTCACGGAGCAGCAGGCTGAGCTTGTGGTCCCTGGCGATGGCAAGAGGGGACTCCGAGGCTGAGGCCAGTGCAGGTGGCCCCCGGAGCAGTGCCGCCAGGAAGCACCCAGCCCCACCCCTGCCAGGGGCTCCCAGGTGTCCACACCCACCTGTAGGGAACGTGCTTGGCACCGCTGACTAGCGCCAGGATGACGCTGCCCAGGGCCGGCAGTGACAGATCCAGGGAGCCCCCTGAGGACTCTCCAGCCCTGCTGGACACAGTCTCACAGCTGCCCAGGTCCAGCAGGTGCAGGCGGCTTCGTCCTCCTGACACTGGGAGGGCAGCACAGGGCAGTGAGCTGCGGCCCCCGTGGATGCGCCACCCAAGCACGCCCACCGGGGCAGGGCTTACTTGCCGCCTGGCCCCACTTCTCCACACGGTACTGGTAGACATGCAGTGTGAAGAGCATGTGTGAACCATGCCTGGCCTCCTCGCCGCAGCCCGCCCGGCTTGTACTACGAGCAGCCAGTGCTGCGTCCAGGTAGGAGGCAGCCCGCTCGGCCGTAGGCGCCCGGAGCTCACTCTGGTTCTGCAGCTGAAGGCAGACGGGGAGGCGACAGGTCCCAAGCTGCCCCGGCCGCCCCGCGCCCCCTGCCCTCTGCCCAGGCCTAGGCGCACCTGTGCCCCGCACACCGGGTCCTCCCGAAGGTGCACGCCTGGAGACTGTGTGTCCTGGAGACCGCCAGAGGCCACCTCGGCCAGCAGGTCCCGCAGGCTCTGGTCACGGCCACACAGCTCCACAGCAGAGACACGGACGGAGAAGCGGGTGCCAGTCCGGTCTCTGCGCTCGCCGAGCAGCCGGAAGAGCCAGGAGATGGTGCAGGGCACGACGCCCAGGCTCTGTGGTGAGCTGTCCTTCCCGATCATGGTGTGCGACTGGCCTGGGGCCCAGGGGGCACGTCATGCCCAGGCCTCGGCCTCCCCACCCAGCCCTTCCCCGGGGAGGACAGCAATCGCGGACAGACCCGGCCAGGCACTCACCAACGCTTGTCTGGCCAAAGGAGAAGATGCAGCCGTCAGCCCCACCGACCACAGCCTGCAGCACGTCGGCCACGGCCCCCGAGCAGACCTCAGCCTGGGAAGGACGGACAGTCGGGCAGGTGCCATGGCCAAGGCCAGCGGGGTGGGTCATCCCCATCCGTTGGCACACATGACCAGAGCAAGGCATACGGACAACACGCACACACTCTATCCAACCCGGGAGCCACTTTGGCCTTGAATGCACAGGGGAACACACGGGCAGGGCTCACTGGCTGAGCCCCAAGGGACAGTCTGAGCCAGACCCAGCTCTGAGCAGCTGTGGGCCAGGGAGATTGCTGCGGGAGTGAACCTCGGGGCACCGCCCTGCCCCACACAGACACAGGGTACCCCAGGTCTCACCACACCTGCTCAGAGTCCTGAGGGAAGACAGCATCAAAAGCAAACATCCTGGGGACCGTGACCGCGGCCCCACGCCGGAGGCCAGCGACAGGGTCGTAGAAGGCCACCTGCTTCTTGCGAGGGTCCACCTTCAGGAAGGACGTGGACTCAGCCGAGTGCACCGCCCCCTGCGCCGGGCAGACCCGCAGCAACACCTTCACCTGCAGAGCCAGATGAGGCAGTCACGTGAGCCCCTGCTCGGCACCCCCGACTACAACCCGAGTCTGGCTGTTGGGCCCTGCTGCCCAAGGCCACAAGGGTGGTCACTGGAGCAAAGCCTTGCAGGACAGGGTTGGGTAGGTCAGACACGGAGCCCCGAGCAGGGGGCACCTGGGACCCCCACACACTGGACTTGGGGTAGGCCAGTGGGATCCCTGACCATCAGAGCAGCAGGGCCCGGTTCCCGGCCCAGCTTTCTCGGCGACAGCGGCCGGCACAATTGGTTTGTTTCTGCTGAGGGTCGCCCTGCCTCTCTGCAAGTAGCAAATTGATAATGCAGCACTGACAGCCAGCGGCAGGCGTGGGGCTGCGGGGCAGGTGCGGGGTGCGGGGCAGGTGCAGGGCAACCACGGGGCAGGCACGGGGGTGGGGGGTTGGGGTGGGGGTGCAGGGCAGCTGCGGGGCAGGCATGGGGGTGCGGGGTAGGCGCAGGGTGCGGGGCAGCTGTGGGGCAGGCACGGGGCCGCTATTGCGGCTCAGGACGCCTCCATTAGGTAGAATCGATTCTATCCCCGCCCGCCACTGCCCACAAAACCATCCCACCACCAAGCGCAATGCAAATGCACACTTTGCTTCCGGCACCCCAGGAATTTCCTCCAGCGCCAGCCCTGCACCCCTTCAGGGGCTGGAGAGGGTCCCCCAGTTGGCGGGGGGCCACTGCACTGCAGGGTCAGCTCTCCCTAGAGCCACAGGGAGAGGCGTGGCAGCCCAATGCCCTCTTGTCCCCGAGCAGAACAGGGGGCATCTGCCAGGAGCGGGGGACTCCTCTCCTCTCCCCTGGCAACTCTGGTCTCCCACCACGACAGCCACACAGTCCAGTCGGGAGCAAGGAGGAGGTGGAGGCCTTGTTGGCCTGGGGGGGAGGCGGGCAGTGCCTAGGTGAGCAGCTGGCGGGATGCTGAGGCCAGAGGAAGCAGGGGCAGACCTGAAGACATACCCTAGGGCCAGGGGTGCTCAGAAACACACTCTCGGAGGTATGCTGGCCTTTCCTGAGCCTCCGACACCCTCTGGGCTACTGACCCCAGGGAACCCAGTGCAGGGTCGCATTTGTGAGACAAGGGCCCGCTGGACCAGAGCCCCAACCCCAAGACCAGCACTCGGTCCCAGGACACTCCTCCCCCTCAGAGATGGGAGTACCTTTCCGATGCCACCAGGGTTGTCCTTGGCCTTGGAGGCAGCCCGGAGCAAGCAGGGGGGTACAGGGGGCGGCCCCAGCTGCAGGACCCTGCTGAAGTCAGTGGGATATGCAGAGGCACCGCGGGCACAGGACACAGGTGTAGGGGTGGGCGGCGGGGGCGCCTTCTTGCGCCTGGAGGCCAGGCTGAACTTCTGCGCAGCCCTGAGGGGGGACGCGGGAGACAGAGTTCAGCAGGGGCCCCTCCACCTTCAGGACACCAGAGGCCCCGTGGCCAGCTCCAAGACCTTCTGCCCACCATGGGCCTGACCTCCCTGCTGGGGCGTGGGCAACATGAGCCGGACTGGCGACTAGGTCCCCTGCACCCCACCTCTAAACTGGGACCTCACAGGCCCTCGAGCAAGGCTCAAGTTGGCCACAGTCACCTTCCCAGCATGCCCAGACAGGCAGCACAGCCAACCCCAGGCCACACAGCCGCTTGCACCAGGGGCTGGTGACCAACCACCACTGTGGACCCCCAGCATGCCCCAACCACACAGGTACACACATCCCCAGACAGGCAGCACAGCCGCTTGCACCAGGGGCTGGTGACCAACCACCGCTGTGGACCCCCAGCATGCCCCAACCACATAGGTACACACATCCCCAGACAGGCAGCACAGCCAACCCCAGGCCACACAGCCGCTTGCACCAGGGGCTGGTGACCAACCACCGCTGTGGACCCCCAGCATGCCCCAACCACATAGGTACACACATCCCCAGACAGGCACATGGCTCTTGGCCCAGGCTCCCCACACTTGGGGACCCCGCCTGCTCTGCCCCTTGTCTCAGGTGGGGCCTCCCTCCCGGGGCTCGGTTGGCTGAGGTCTGGTCCCGCCATGGCTGTCAGGATGCCCCCTGGGGCACAGCCAAGGAAGGGCTGTGGGTGAGGCTGCAGGCCCCCGCCCTGGCTCCCCACCCGCCCTGCACCTGCTCTGGGCACTGAGCTGCGGCGTCTCCCCCAGCATCAGCGGCCTGCAGCCCACCAGCGTTCACTAACTCCTCGTTTTTTAACACGTGCTGTCTGTTAAGAGACCCCAGGGACACCTTTGCTCCGAGTGAGGCGTCACGGCGGAAAGTAAAAGTAATCTACGACACGGGGCGGGGGAGGGGAGCAGGCTGCTGCAGTGACCAGATGCTGGCAGCTCGGCAGCTCCTTGGCATGCACTCAACCTGGCCCTTGCCTGCAGGGGGCCAGGGCCCGGCACATCTGGGCCCTGAAATCTCATGGTACACCGGGTGGTGCTCTAGATTGTGTAAAACTTCATGCCCAGCAAAGGCCAGGGCCACCTGGGCGGCATGGGCAGCGCCTAGGCCACCAGGGTGACAGGTTGTGACAAGGTGGAACTTAGAGGTGTGTAGGGGGCAGCTTCCCCCACCAGGCACACTTGCGGTGTGGCAGCTCAGCCCTACTCTTACAGCCAGGGCCTTGGTCAAGGCCAGGCCAGGCCAGGTAAGTGTGGGCCTTGCACAGACAACCTGGTGCCAGAAATCTGGAAGGTTCTAGAAGATGTCTCCACCACACATCTTGGCCCCCAGCTTGGGCACAGCTCCAACAATGTCAGCCAGCCAGAGCATTGCCTTGGCATGGGTGGAGCAGGGGCCACAGATGTCCATGGTAGAGCTTGCAAAGGAGTGTGGGTGACAGGGACCCAGCCTCTCCTAGGAAGACAAGCTTGCCTACTCCCTGCCAGCTTATGAGGCTGCCTCCCCACCAGCAGGGGTACTGGGGACAGATGCCCCCATGCCCAGGCCTCCATCACAGGGGAGCTCGGAGTCCAGTGACGGCACATAAACCAATGCATGCCTGAGTGAGTGAGCAACTGACCCAGCACAGGACCTGTCCCGCTGGGCCACTCCTGCATCCCCAGTGTCCTCCATTGCCACCCACACTCAGGCTGGAAATACCCTGGAGCAGAGCACAGGCTGGGGCTCACAAGGAGGGGGCAGAGGGCTGGCGCTGCGGCCCAGCATCCATTGGACTCCCTGTTAATGGCCTGGGAGGACAGCGGAGGATGGCCCAGGCACTCAGGTTCCTGTACCCGAGTGGTGCAGGCACCAGGCCTCATCCTGGCTCAGTCCTGGCTGCTGTGGTCACTTGAGGGGTAGCATCAATGAAGCTCGCTCTCTCTCTCTCTAACTCTGCCTAATTAACCAGTATGCAAATGAACCTTGAGAAGGGAGGAGCTGGACAGGGAACCCCAAGCTGTGCGTGTGCCTCCCCCATGAGGCAGCCCCCTCCCCAGGCCAGGCTACAGCCCCCTACCCACAAGACCAGGCATGTACATCGGTTCAGAGCACCCATCCCCCAACTCGATTCCCAACCTGACCCCTGACCTGCCACCTGCCACAGATCTTCCGGAAGCTCCTGGGGCCCCTCCTCAGCAAAGCTTCTGTGCTGTCCCCACCCCACACAAGCGTTTCTATGGTAACTTTCCAAGGTCAGCGCGTGGCACAGGCAGCGCCAGACAAAAGGCAATCACTGGTGACTCCCCTTCCCCCACCCAGGCACCCCCAGAAGGTGGAGCCAGGGAGCCCCCTGCTCATCACAGGCCCAGCACGGCCTAGGAGGGTGGCAGCTGCGGCGGCTCCTCTGCCACCGCCTGGCCGGCAGGCCTGAACAGGCTGGACAGAACTGAGGCTGGAACCCTCAGCCGGGCTCTCTGGCCTAATGGGGGTGGCAGCCCAGACCACAGCTCAGCCTCACGACAATGCCCTAATCGCATGCCCCGTCACTCCCCAATCAGGCTGCAGCCCCTGGGGACAGCGCCGACAATCACAACCCTCCCTCGGTCCCAGCCCCACTCTGGCGACTGGCTGAGACTCACACAAGTGTGGCCGCCTGCTCAGGTGGCTAATGGGACTGCGACCCACAGCTGGGCTTGCCTCTAGCACTCATTACCACAATGAAAACAGGCTGCACCCCGCACGCACCGATCTCGGCACCAGGCCCAGCGACTCCCACAGCCGGACAGCACACAGGCAAGCTGCACGGGGTCGCAGGCAACCGAGTTCCCCAACCCCCGGCATCACTTGAGTTGTTCCGGGAGCCCCATTTCTCCTCGTACACCCCTACCCAGCCACCCGGGGGGGGGGAGGCAGGCAGAGCATCCTGGGCCCATCTCACAGGTGGGCAGAGGCCAAGGCCTCCGGGCAGCAGATGCTCCCCGCACAGGCCCTCCCGCCCAAGGTCAGCCCACCCCACCCCACCACCTACCTGATGAAGAAAGAGGCTGCAGCAGAGGGGCCAGGGGCCGGAGTGACCAGAGCCGACGTGCGTGTCCCCGCGTTACCCCACGCCTTGGACACACACTCGGGGCCTGCCATGGGTGGGCCATCTCGGACTGTGTCCGCCACCGCTACTGCAGCCACGGCCGCCTCAGCCTGGAAGGAGGGACGAGTGGGGTGAGGAGACGGCTACGGAGGGACCCGCCTGTGTAGCCCCCCTCACGGGCCCTCCTGGCTTCTCAGTCAAGGTCCAGGAGGATACAGCAGCTCGCTGCCCACGCCTGGGGCCTCACCCGGGAATGACTTGGGCATACACGGCCGGCCTGCACTGTGACATTTCAGAGTTGGCTGTGGGGGGGACATGGCCTTACCACACAGCTCTGCGCGGACCTGCCCTCCGGGGACCCTGCCGCAGGCATGCCCAGCCTGGTCCCTGGGGCCGCTCCTCAGCCCCAAGTGCGACTTTGCAGCCCCTACCCATAGGTGCCCTCTGCGCTCAGGCAGGCAGAGGGCAGGGTCAGCACCGAGGCCAAGGCTGTGATCTAACTGGGCCACGAGGGCTGGTGTCCTGACGTGGGAGGCAGGCCTGACCTGTGAGCAGTGTTCCGGGGACCCCAGCAGAGCACCTCGGCCCACAGCCGACGGCCCTACACTCCCTCCTCCCAGGGCCCAGGCAGAGCAGGTGGAAAGGTCCAGCTGCGTGAGGCCACAGCCCTCAGCCCCACAGCCCCCGCACCAGCGCCCAGGGTGCGTGGCGACACAAGGCACCTGTGGGGGACCCCGTGTCTCACCCCCCTCCCCCCCGGTGCCTCCTTGGAAAGTCAAAGCCATTTTTTTGAGAGGCAGGGTGGCAAAGGCCCAGCCCACGGCCACACCAGGCTGGGGTACGCAAATGGTGGGCACCACGCTCCACCCCACCTGTCCACAGCAGGGCAGCCCGAGGAAGAGGTCACAACGTCCCAGTGACCCCTAGGCCCAGACTTATCTTAAAGTGACCGTGGCGGCTGCCAGGGCCCAGGGCTGCTGTGCCCACAATCCACCTGGCATCTAGCCGCACGGCCTGCTCCTGCCCACGGACTCGCGTTCTGAAGCTGACGGGGGGCCCGTGGGGCCGCCCTCCATCCAGGACGGGAGACCTGCAGCCTGCAGCCGGCTGGCCGGGCCTCCTGCACTGACCTGTCTCGGCAGTCCCACTCGGGCCTCGGCATGACCATCCTATGCGCTGCGGTGACACGGCCCCGTCCAACGGGACGGCCACTGCCAACTCCTGCCAGAGCAGAGCCCAAACGTGCCGAAGAAGCTGAGAGAAAGCAGCTGTCTCAAAGCACGGGAGGAAGGGGGGAGGTGGCAGGGGCGGGGTCATGACATGGGGGCAGGGCAGAGCAGGGCGGGGGGCAGCCACACGGAAAGAGCAATGGAAGCCGTGACAGCAATGGGTGGGAAGCAGGAGAGAGGAAAGCGTGAGGCCCGGCCTTCACACCCGTCCCACCAGGGGACCCCCAGGGCCTGAGCCTGTATGATCCTGGCACACCTTGGGGCCGGCTACAGGGTGCCTCTGGCAACACCCACCAGCGCTCCGGGACCCAAGGTGCTCCAGCGTGGGCACCAGGCCTGTGTCCCTGCCCCCACACCGCCAGGAAAGCCACCCATATCCACTCCCTGAGCAGGTGGACTGGATCCTGCAGGAAGGGTCAGGGAGCACCATGTGAGCCAGGCTGGGAAAGCCTGGCTCCAGAGGCAGGCCACTGCCGACACCCAGAACCCCAAGGGCTCACAGCACAGGCCCCAGCCTCGTTCCCTGGCCGTGCTCAGTGCTGGGGCAGTGAAGCCGTGCCTGTGGCTCCTGGGGACCTGGCCTCCCTGGCCAGCATCGTCTGTTCAGCTTCCACCAAGCCCTACAGCGTGTCCCCTAGAAGGATCGAGCCCCAGCCCCATCTCCTGTGGCCGGGTCACGTGAGCCTCTTCCAGAGGCCAGCTCCACCCCAGGCAGTTCGCTGACCACCGACAGTGGTGACAGCACATGCGTCCTGCCACCCAGCAGCCTAGCCCGCAGACTGCCGGAGGGACTGGCCAGGGAGTGGTCTCCCCCGCCCCCACCTGCCAAGGAGCCTGGCCCCGGGGAGGGGAGACTCAGCCTCAGACGTGAGTCCCTGGGCACCCAGACTCGCGGTCAGGGGCCCTCAGAGGGTTGGTCACTGGGAGGATGGGGTCTTGTGGGGGTGAGGGCAGGGGAATGTCCAGGCTACGGAAGCAGCACTGAGGCCACCCCCATACTCCACCAGGCACAGTGGAAAGAGCTAGCTACCGGCCAGGACACGAAGGCTCAGCAGGCCGCAGGACAGGGCTCATAGCCGCCTGGAGGTGCAGGGAGCACCAGCACCACCCTGCCTTTCGGCCATTCCTTGATGTTTCACCCACAAGGTGAAAGTCCAGCCCCACTGTTGACCCCAACAGACAATGGACACATGCCTCAGGCATGGAAACCACCCCCAGAGAGCTCCCACCACCTGCTAACCCGGTCCTGGAAGCCCAGCTCAGGGTACCCCCTCCTTCCAGATGGAAAACTGGGGGCAAGTCCCCGAGTCAGTGGCCCCAAGCTGGGGTTGGCAGCTTCAGGGGTGTCTGCAGTCACCCCAACACAGGCAGCTCCCCCGCCCCCGAAAGGGGCCAGGCCAGGCCACTGTGGGAGCGAGCTTGGAGCTGAGCCCGAACCCGCTGGCCTGGAGGGACCCTGACCCTGCTTGTGGGGATTCAGGTGCACAGGAGTGGCAGACACTCACCAGGTAGGTGGGTGGCAGGAAGCCGCTGACTCTGGAGACGCCCCACATTCCCTCAAGGCATTGTTGGGCCTGGATGGTGACTGTGCTCAAGGCTCCGCCCAGGCCCGCGGGCGCCACTGACACCTGCACACTGGGGCCCGGGGCCCAGGCCAGCCCCTTCTTCCTGTCTGGCCCTGAGGGGCCCAGTGACTCCTTCCGGCTGGTCACGGCAGCCGGGCCTGGGCTTCCACCAGGGCTGTCGGGGTCCTCGTGGCTGGCCGGGCCTTGGAGCAGGTGCAGGGCCTCACGCGTGAGCTGGTGCAGGTGCGTGGAGCAGGTGCTGCAGCGGCCCTCAGCCTCGGGGGGGCAGGCAGCCAGGGCCCCCGGCACCGCGAGCTTGTCCAGAAGCAACGCCGAGAGGCAGGGCTCCTGAGGACAGCAAGGAACAGGGCAGTCACGTGACAGGAAGCAGGTCCAACACCGGCCCAGCACCATAGCAGCCCACCTCCCTGCCAGTCCACACCTCCATGCAGGCCTGTGACAGCAATGCCACGTAGAGCCTCCCACAGGCCAGGGCTGCAGCAAGGGGCTCAGGTTCCAGCCTGCCACTCCGCGCTCAGCAGGAGGCCGAGCTAGGGCCACTCACCAGGCTCCAGGGCTGCCCCTCCTGGGCTTCCCCCGACTCCCGGGATGCCCCCACTCCTGGTCTTGTCCCCTCCCTGACCTGGGGACTTAAATCTCTAACAAGAGACTGGTGTGCAGATGGGCAAGCCCAGGAGCCAGGGAGGCCAGGGGAGGCCCCTCGTGCAGCCTGGGGGCCAGGGAGGCCAGCCTGGGGGAGGTGACACTTTCCAAAAGGAAGAAATAATGGAATGAACCAATTTCCCCTGGTGGGGGGGATACTGCCAAGAAGCCAACAATCCCCCCACACACACTCCTGCTCCAACGCAGCCCTGCAGAGGAGCCACTCGTACAGGCCCACCCAGGCCTTGGCAGCACAGGGGTGACCTCAGGACCCTAGGTGACCTCCAGCCACTACCCGCTCCCCCCAGGAAACAGCCTCAGCCACTCCAGCCCAGCCTGCTAGGTTCCCAGCTCCTCCCGGCCTGGCCACACACTGAGACGGGCGGGCTGGGGCAACAGCAGAGGCGGGAGCAGGGGGGTCTACAAGGCTGAAGGGCCCTCAGCAGCTGGTAAGGCCAGTGGGCATCCACAGGGGCTGGGCCCTGGTCACCCAGCTCCCCGCAGCACCACTCCCCCACCTGCCCCGCCCCGGTTGAGGCTGGGGTGATTCAAGTGCTTCCCCCCCAAGGATACTCCCTCTCCCTTCCAGTCCTGGGGTCCCCCTAGAACCCACACAGCCTGATCCCAGCTCCCTAGGCTGATTGCCCGTCCCTGCAGCCCTGTGTTCAGTCACCCTCCCACTGGGTGCTGGGCCTGGCCCAGGGTGTGGGGGCCCTATCCACACACTGAGAAAGGGCCACTTCCACACGACTTCTGTGTCACCCCAAGCTTTCTGCTGGCTCCCCCACGAGTGGCCGCAGGGACACAGCCACCCAGACCCTCCCTGCAGGAGGCCGCTGGGGAAGGGGCAGGGGCTGGGGAAGGGGCGAGTGACACCTGGGGACCCATAGTCACAGGTGACAGCCAGACCCCAAGCAGCTGCCACTTGCAGAGTGGACAACACGTCCAGCAAGGGCCTCCAGGCTGGGCCGGGTGCTGCCACCGCAGGGACACACAGACATGTCCACACAGAGAGCTAATGGCCCACCTTCCCCCAGCCAGTCACAGCTCGCTGCCCAGGCCCCCCGGGTACCTAACAGCCAGACCAGGAAGTGACCAGCAGAACAGTGGGTGGCCCAGCCCACCCAGCACTGGCTGGCACACCACGGGCCCGGAGCCAGCCCAGCTGTCCGGCTCAGCCACAGACCAGGCCAGTGAGGTCTCCTCTCCACAATGGTCTCCCTTGTCCACCCAGGCCTGCAGGGGTGCAGCCGGGCAGCAAGGAGGCCTCGGCAGGGAGGGCTGTCCACAGGTGGGCTTCTCAGAGGGCAAGAGTGGCCAGCTGTCCCCCTCCCTGGCAGCCCTTCATCTGATCACAGCCAGGACCCAAGACCCACCCCTGTAGCCGTGCACAGGCCTTTTCTGTGCTGGGCCATTCCCAGCCAGGTGGAGGCCACCAAGGTTCCCAGTGCTGGAGCCCACCACCAGTCACAGCTGCAGGAACACACCCTTCCAGCTGAGTCATCTGTGCCCCTGCCAGCCAGGCACTGCTCAGCAGCCGGACAGCCTGGGAGGCAGCCCCCGCAGCTGCTGGCACCTGGGCTCAGCCGGAAGCCCCGCCATGCGGCTTCCAGGCGCAGCGGGTCCCAGCAGGTGGAGCCTGGGCCACGCATTCTCCGGTAGTGGTGGTTGCTGGCAGCCAAGTCTGCGCCCAGCTCTGTCATCAGAGCTGAGACCTGCAGGGTTGGAACAGGCTCCAGGCACGGTGGGGGGGTGAGGATACCCTAGAGCCCAGCTCTCCCAGGCAGCTCCTCCCTCCCCCAACCACCAGGGAAGCGAGAGCTTTCTGGACACTTGGGAGAGCTGTGGACAGGAACACCTGGGAACTCACAGGGTCTCAACAGGATCGTGTCCTCTGGAACGTGGCGTGGGAGTGGCAGGGAGGGGTACTGTTCTGCCTGGGGCTCCCCACTGGGGCACAAGTCAGCAGTAATGCCCGTGAGCTTACAGGGTCTCATTGCATCCTGTCCCCGGGGAACAGGGGCACTGCTCTGCCTGGGGCTTCCACAGCCGGGCATGGGGAGACCTGTCACTGCAGCCTGCCTCGGCACAGATATTGTCTGGGACAGGGACGGTGTCTGCTGGGACTCAGGGCCATTTGACTGCAGCCAGTCTGCGGTGGCCCTGCTGGGCAGGCAGCAAGCAGGGAAAGCAGCATGGGGTGAGGGGCATTAGGGCAGTGTCCCCAGGGGCTCACGGCGCAAGGCACGAAGGGTAGACACAGCAGGCCAGAGGCCCAGCATCCGTATAGGAATGGGGGTCCTGGCTACTAATGGTCTGTGGGCCTTTCAAAGTCCTCCATGGGATGGAGAGGAAGTTCCAGGGAGCCGGGGACCAGCAGAGAGACAAATCCAACAACCCCCACGCTGTGTACCAGGCTCCCCCATCGCCCAGCAGGGACTGCCCCACTCCCTCCCCAGGTCTCCCAGTCTGGGAACAGAAGGGGTGATGTCCCTCACCAGAGCGATGGCCACACAGCACAACCATGGGTCACACGCTCCCTGGGCCGACAATGGAACGGAAGAACCCAGAGCCACCGCGCCCTCCGCAACAGGAGCAAGGAAGCCCAGGTGTGACCTGCAGCACCACGACCCAGGCCTGGGCAGCAGCAGAGACAGCAAAGGCCAGTCCAGCCCCAAGGCGCCACCCGTCTCTGGCCTGACTCCCTCTCCAGGGCAGCAGGTGGCCCTTAGCTGCCTCCAGCCATCAGCAGTCTGCCCCAAGTCACCGCCATTGGAAGCCCATATGGGCCCAAAGATGCAGGGCTCGGCAGAGGCCAGTGCCCATTCTGCCCAGCAGGTGCACACCTCCTCAGTTCTGGTCACAGAGGCCAGGCAGGACCTGGACACCAGTGTGGCTTCTGCCTGGGACAGAGGGTCTCAGGGCCACCAGACCCCAGGGCCCTCCCAGCAGGCCTATATTTAGAGCAGGGGAGGACTCTGGACTCCAGGATCCAGACGGGCGGGCTTCCGCGGGAGGCCCCCTCCCAGGCCCGGCATTGTTCCCTGGAACAATGGCCCCGCTCCTTGCAGGACCCAGCGGCTGGGAACCCTGGGAACCATCTCTGGCGGCACCCTGCCAGCTGGGCCCCACGAGCACATGGCCCACACAACAGATGCCTCAGTCCCGGGCCACTCCGGTGCCTGACTCTGGGAGAGCTCCAGCTGAGAGGGACCGCCTTGGGCAACCCCACGCCCTCCCCCTCACCAGGTGTCTCCAGACACCCCAAGGCAAGCTGCACCCGGCTGCCAGCAGTGCGGGCACACCCGGCCGGGGCGGAGCCACCGCCACCCCACCCTACAAGCCGCGTGCCAGCTGTGGGACACGGGATCCCAGCCTAGACACCCCTAAGAGAAGCAGGCCCATGGCAGGAACACTGAGTGGTGGTGGTAGGAATACCGAGGCCTGGGCACGAGGCCTTGCCCAAGGGGCAGACCCAGGGTCACTTACCCGGAGGGTCGTCCCCGGCCCGCTGACCAGCTTCCAGGCCTGTCGCTTCAGCTCCAGCAGCTTCGTGTGGCAGTGGCGGCACCAGTCACTCCCGCCGACCAGGTGGCCCTGCTCTGGACCTGCGCCGGCGCCCTCGGGTGCGGGACGGCTTCCGCGTGGGTCCTGCTCTGGCCTGGCGGGCAGCCTCTTGCGCGGTGGCACCTCCAGCGGCGGTGGTGGCTGTGGTGGCGGCTCCTGGGCCGGACCGCTCTCGGCCACCTGCGGGGATGGGGCAGAGAACTGTGAGCCAGCTCCGGGACGTGTTAGCTAAAGTTGTGGGCTGGGACTCAGCCCCTCCGTGCCCACACGAACATCCTGGCTCGGCGCGCCCAGCAGGAGAGCCGGTCCCCAGCCTCGGCCGGAGGCGCCCCCGTCCCCAGCTCGGGTCCCCGCCGCCCGCCCCGCCGCGCTTACCGCAGATGGGGCCACCCACAGCGGAGCACCGCGGCCGCCCATGGTCGGGACGCAGGAGGGGCCTCGGGGGCGCTCCGGGATGCCACAGCTAGGTGATCCGGCCTGGGGGAGGCCCCATGGCCGGCCCGAGGCTGCGAAGTTAGCCCGGGCGAGTGGCCGCCAGCGCCCGGTGTGGCCTCCGTCTGGCTCCGCGGTGAGGCGGGGCTGGGGCTCGGGGCGGGGCGCGGGAGGGTGGGCGGCGCGTGGGGCGGGAAAGGGAGGGAGGCCCGCCCCGGTCCCGCCCACTCCAAGGACCCCAACCTGTTAGGTGAGTCCCGGACAAGGAGCCGGGCTGGTGGGGGGGACACCCCCTACCCTGCGCGGGGACACGCATGCGCCTGCGGCTCTCTCACGGAACACGCGGGTTCGTGTCTCCCGGGAAGCTCGAGCGGCAAGGCTGAGGCCGCGTAGAGGGGGGACAAAGGAGTGTCTGGTCTTCCGCGCCCCGACCCCATCCGCCCGCTTAAATCCAAAGCAGCCCACGTGCCACCCTGTGGGTCCGGGCGTCGCACGCGTTTGTCGCCTGCTGGCGGCCCGGGACGCATAGCATGAGCGCACGCGCGTCCTCAGCGCAACGCGGGACCTGTTGTGCAAGGGGCCCGGCTGGGAGGTCGCCCCAGTGAGGGGTCCCGGCTGCAGCCGAGCCCCGAACCCCCAGCACCACGAGGCAGGCGCGGTACGAGCGCCCTCTGCCGCCCTTGCGCCACGCGTCCCGGGCGGGGAAGCGCACCCCGGCACCGTCCCGGCGGAGCCCCCAGCCCCCGCGCACACAAAGACCCCAGCCGCCTCCCAGGGCGGCCCTTCCCGGTGCTGGGCCCCACCTCCTCCTGCACAGACGAGGTGCTGACGGCGCCCGCACTACTTGTGATCTGAACCGGGAAAAGCAATCGGGCTGAGCCCCCAGCCACTCTGGGATCTCCAGGCTGCCGGCCCCCTTCCACGCGGAGCTCGTGGAGACCTCGCGAAGGATAACGCCAAGCCGCGGGCATTGCACCTATGCCTCACCTGCTGAGGGCTCGTGGCCTGGGCCCCCCGGGACGCGACTCCCACCCCCTCCCCGGAGCACGGAGCACGGCGCCCCGCGGCCAGCCAGCCACACCCGCAACTTGAGTTTTCCGCGCTACTGGGGAGCCCGGGGCCACACGGCTGCGTGCCCGACCCCGGCCCTCTGGGGGTGCGCAAAGGGCCAGAGCCACCTTGGGGGAGCCTCCGATCCCCTTGCCTCGCTCCCCCACGCACCCAGGAAAGAGCCAGGTGCTCTCTGCGCTGCGCCCTCACCCTGGCCGGCTGCCCCGCGCCCTGCCAGCGTCCAGCAGGGATGAGGCCTCAAAGTGGGCAGGAGGCAGTGGAGGGAGGGGTGCGGGGTCCCCGGCGCCTCCTGTCCAGAGCCGCGTGACAAAGTCGCGGGACGGCGTCTCCCGGCCAGCCGGGCCTCACCTTGCCTCGCCGCCGCAGGAGGTGACTTGTGAAGCCCAGGATGATGTCGGAGTCCAGGCAGAACGCCCCCATCTCCAGCAGGCTGGGGACCTTGCGGGGCGCGCCGCCGGGCGGCTCGGGCGGCCCCGGGAGCGCCATGGAGGAGCGGAGCGCGGGGAGCCGCTGCCTGCGCCTCCCGCCGCCTCCCGCCGCCTCCCGCCGCCGCCGCCCCGCCCTCGCTGGCCGCGCGCCCGCCGCCGCCGCGCCCCGCACCGCGCCGCGCCGCGCGCAGGGCCGCTCGCCAGCCCCCCGCGCCCCGGCCCTGCGCCCGCCGCGCGCCGCCGCGGGCCGCCACCAGGCGCTCGGCCCGCGGCCCCCCAGCCCGGCGCACGCCGACCCCCCTGCCTCGCGCGCTTCCGGCCGGGGCCGCGGCGGAGGGAGGGGGCGACGCAGCTGAACGCGGTTCGCGACACCTGCGCCGGCAGCGCCAGGCCCTTCCCCTCTCATCTACTGTAGCGGCTGGGCGCTCCGAGGCCCCAAGCCCCGGGGACGCCGGGGATCTCCAAGCGCTGGGCAGGGGCCGCCCACCCGCTCCCCCGGGCGCGGCCTCTTACTCTGACCCTGGGCAACCTCCGGCGCCCTGTAGGCAGGGCTCCCTCCCCCAGGACACCCCTTCCAGCCCTGGTCTTGCGCTCGCTCTGGGCAGTTGGGGACAGGGCGATAGGCACACCGTCCGGACCCTTTCGGCCCCCACACAGCTCCACTGCCTCCTCCCTGCCTCCAGGACCCCTCCCTGGGGTAGCTGGTGGAGGGGCCTGAAGACCTCCCACCTGTGCCCTCCTCCCTGGCCTCTGTTCTCTAGGACCTCGGGGGAGGGGCTCCCGCGGGTAGGCCACTCCCGGATTGATGAAGGTCGTGGGGGATGTTTGCATCATTTAATTTACCAGTGCAGGGCAGAGCGGCCCCTGGGGACACGCAGGCAAGCCTGAGCGCTGAGCGAGGCCCTTCGTGGTGCAGCATCTCAAGGCACCAGGAGCCCACAGGTTCCAGCCCCCAGGCCAGTGGGGTGGGGAGCAGCACCAGTCCAGGGCTATGCAGCTGGCCAGCTGCGGGCAGAGGCAGCAGAGCCAACCCTGGTTTACCACGCTGCAGGGCAGCACAGGTGTCAGGTGAGCCGCCTGGAGCTGGCAGGGGGCGGGGTATTGAGAGTCCTGGTCAGGCCCTTCCTGCAGAGCAGACCCTCGCAGGTCGCTGGGTCCCCTCGGTCCCCTCCCACCTGTGCCACCTCCACACCCTACTGGGAGGAGTCTGCGGGCCAGCCCGGCTTCAGCACCGTGGCCAGCGCCCGGCTGGCCTGTGCTGAGCCCTTGGCCTATGGCTGGTGCTGCCCTCATGTCTGTCCCATAATGTCCTCCTCCTCCCTATGTCCCCACCCCTCTCTGCCACCACTGCCACAGTGGCCACAGGGATCACCCCCACCTCCCGCCCAGCACATCTGCCGAGACCTCCAGGCAGCTCCCATGCCTCCACCACGTCCAGAGCAAGGCTGCAGTGTCAGCTCCCTTCCTCGGAGAGAGGTGCCAAGGCCCACTCAACCCAGCCTCAGGGTGAGCCAGGCTGAGCCCCTGTGACCCACAGCCGACAGGGCAGCTCCCTGGCTAGCTGGAAAGGTGCCCACCTGCCTGCCCCTACCCAGCTCCTGGGAAGAGATGTGTGCAGCCCTGGGCGTGCCTGCTGTAGGAATTCCGAGCCCTCCCTGGGCCCCAGCTAATGCCCCAGCCCCAAGAGGCAGCAGCATCCCTGTGGCATCCCTGTGGCCCTAGGCCTGCCTCTCTGCCCCTGTGTGTGCCTGGCTCAGGCCCTGATGGCAGCAGGGCACTGCCACAAGTGGCCAGCAGGTGGTGCACGTTGTCTGCAGCCAAGGCAAAAGGAAGACCCGGCTGACGTGTGTGTGTGTGTGTGTGTGTGTGTGTGTGTGTGTGTGTGTTGGACATGCCTGTGTGCAAGGCCACCACTGAATGCAGCACCTGCTACTTGGGCCAACAGCTGGACAGGTAGGACAGCTGCTGGCTCCAGCCACATGGAGGGGGCACTTTGGGACCCAGTGGGACAGGCATGGCCACAGCAGCCCGGCGGGGCTCCCTCAGAGGGGGCGCCACTGCGTTCCAGAGACTTGGTACCACTTAGGGAGCACCTGAGAAAGCACTTGGCAGATAAAGCAGACTCCAGGGAAGGATGTCTGAGTCATGGGGGCAAGGGGCACAGGGTAGGTCCTGAGACCCCACTGAAGCCGTCCAGTGCCTGACACAGCGAGGTGAGCCCTGCCTGTGACCCTGGCACCCCATGTTCCAATCCAGGCTGTCCCCGGTTGGCCTAGCTCAGCCTTGGCCACTGCTGGCACTTGGGGATTGAACCCACGGGTGGGAAATCTTTCTGTAACTCTGCCAAATGAGTACATCGTGTAAAAGGCCAACACTGTAACGTTCCAGGTAGCTGCCAGAATGGCCTGGGCTTCCCAACAGTACAAGACGCCGAAGCCCAACTTGGTGCCACGCATGGGAGATGAGACACAGCCTCCCTCTCATAGCATCAGAGAAGGTGGGCTGTCCCTGAGCAAGGGGCAAGAAGACAGGGGCTTGGAAGGAGGTGCAGGGCCTAAGTCCACAGAGGAGCCAGCAGCTGGAAGGCCCCAGAGAGAGGAGGAAAGAGAAAGGGCAGGTGGACACGCGAAAGGGGCTGGAATCTCTACCGGAACACAGTTTATGCACAGCTGTGAATCGGGCGAGGCAAATCAAGAGGCAAAGCAATTGCTTTAGGAACGCTGCAAGACAGCCCCTGCTTGAGCCTGCTGGGGGAACTTGCCACTGGGAGGCGCTGTCAGGATGGATACAGGGCACACACGGGCTCAGGGTGCGTGCCACAGCCGGGCGCCTGATTGAGCCCCCTGTTCTCTCTGATCCCGCTTCCCGCTGGCATGCACCCTGGGAGGCACCCAGGAGATGGACCCCTGCCACTTGTGTGAGAGACCCCAGCGGGAGTTCAGGGCCCCAGGCTTCTGGCCGGCCCAGCCCTGGCTGCTGTAGGCATCCTGGGAGTGGGCAGCAAGGAGCCTTCTCCCACTGCCACCCTGCAACAGTGGGAAAGGGCAGGCGGCTCTGAGAGGGACACAGCTGGAGGGGCCAATACCTGAGTCCCACGCCATTTTCAGATGCCAGCCCAGGCGGGCTCAGGTCACAGCCCGGAGCTGTGGTCATAGCCACACAGAGGCTCAGCCGGGGGTTGGTTTGCACTGTGCCAGGTGCTGGCATAAATCCCAGGGGCAACATTGGGACTGGCATACGGAGAGCATGGCAGTCAGCGGTGGGGGCGGGGACATCGCAAGTGGGCTTTGGGGACACAAGGACAAATTCAGGAGTGGAGGCTGAGCCACGTGGTCCCAGGGAGGAGGCTTGGGGTGGGACTGTGCTGACCGGGCACCCTCTGCCCTCCTCACATGCCACACGCTAGGACTTTTGGGTGGTTTGCGGGCGAGCCCCAAGTGCTGCGAGGAAGAGCACATGAGGTGGGAGCCTCGGTCCTTTAGAGCTTCAGCTGAAGGTGCAGACACAGGCAGGGCCACCCCAGGGACCGCCCCCACGCTCCAGGCAGGGACCATCCCCACGCCAGGCAGGGCCACCCCCACACTCACACCCCCTGGACAAGGCCATGGATCTAGGCACGCCCGGCCCGGCGTCCACCAGAGAAGGGCTGTGCAGGATCCTGCACCTGCACACAGCAGGACCTCACTTGGGAAGTGAAGCAAGAGTTGTGTCCCTGCCGACTGCTGTTCAGATGGCGCACCAGGCACAGGCTGCAGCCGGCAGGAACCTTGAAGATGTGACGCTGACAGGGCAAGCCCGCGAGCTGCCCGTTACCTGGAGCAGCCAGCGGCCAGGGCTGGGAACGGGAGTCGGCATGGCCATCCGGTCAAAGTGCGGTCATTCTGGAGACGGGACATGAAGAGCACACAGCGTGGAGTGTGGGTGCCGACGAGGCTGAGCCTGGCCCTGAGGCACAGCCAGTGGAGCAGGGCCCTGCCCGGGTGTCTGAGACAGGACAGGGGACGGCTGTAGTGCCTGTCCACCTGGGGGACTCGGTGCAGCTCCAGGCTCAGCCCCGACATTAGCACCATTTGGGGAGTGACTCAGCATTAGATCCCTCTGCCTTTTAAATCCGTAACTAAACGTTTTGCAAAATCGAATGAGTTCAGTGCTGGTGGCAGACCTGCCAAAGCTGCCCTCCCCTCCTCCCTCTAGTGTAGATGCTGCCACGGCTACACCCCCACGGACCAGCCACGGCACCAGGAGCGTTGAAGTTCTGTTTCCATGTCACTTGAAGAGGGAGCTGGCCATGGCCCAGTGGGGACTGTGGGCCATGACGACACAGAGGAGTGAAATCGGCCCTTGCTTCTACAAGTTGGGGCGACACAAAGGATGGATGGATGGATGGGGGAGACCACACAGGCCTGTGTCCTGCAGCCTCCAGGCCAGTGGCAACACATGAGCAGAGCCGGCCCACACAGCATCACCTCTACCCTGCACTGGCTGTCCACTGGGCGCAACACGTCTGAGCGAGCGTGAGGAAGCAGGGACAGGGCTCTGCACAGCCCTGAGCGTCCCCCAGAAGGGTTGGGACTGCAGCCCGTAGCCCTCCAACCCACTGCTCCGCCTTCTGGAGCGCCTGGGTGGCCTTAGGCCTTGTGGAGTCGGGAGTGGAGCTCCCGGCTCCTGCCTGTGGCCAGTCCAGTCCCAGCTGTGCAGTCATTCGGCAAACAAAGGTGAGATGTGAGTGAGGCGGATGCCTCTGGGGCGCAGAGGGGCGCCTGGCGATGATGTCAGTCTGAGCCAAGCACAGCGAAGCCCTCCCACATTCACCCTTCAAAACAGTCAGTTGCACCTGATGGACACTGTTTTTATTTGTTACACAAACTGCAACAATGAGAAATACATGAAACCCGAGGCAGGGAGAAGGCAAGAAAAGAAAAAAATCAGTAAGTGCAGACAAGTGGCCCTTCGGGGTCAGCAGGAAGGCATTAAGTGCCATGTCCCCCAGCAGGTGGCTCAAGGCCTGTCTCCCCTGCTGACACAGTGGCTCCAGCAGTGGGCCCTGCCACCCACATG